TTGTGATTAAACTATGCTTTAATTATGTTCAATTTGTAACAATGAAAATATACATCGCATATCAGATATTTACATTACGATTCATAACAGTAGCAACATTACAGTTATGAAGTAGCCACGAAAATAATGTTATGGTTGGGGGTCACCACAACCTGAGGAACTGTATTAAAGGGTCGTGGCATCAGGAAGGTTGAGAACCGCTGGTTCAGAGCCTGTTGCTCTCCTGCGCTTCCCTGCCCGCCATGCCTAGTGAAAAGGTGAAAGGCGCCTGGAACTTCCCTCCCTGACTGTAAGGGAGGAGAACTCCTGGGAAGAACTTAGGACTTATCCCATCGCCCATCCCCTCACTTGCTGGTTGCTGCTTGGCAAAGACAACTCACTTACCATACAATGATCAATGATGCCTTCTAATCCCTGTACTTGAAGGGACAAAGGGGGCTGGGCAGCCCTGGCCCGATTTGAGCATTCATTTCTAGAGGAAGTGGATGTTTTCAAGGTTATTGGAGGGTTTTCAGGTCTGCCTACTCCCCAGGTGCTCCTAAATCAAATATTCAGGTTTTCCTAATATCCTGGACATGGGGAGTGCAGTGATCTGTTTGCCATTAGAATCGATTTTTACATTTTAACCATCTATTTTTATATCTGGGCAAGGCAGCCTTCAAAGCCAACACTTTGAAGAAGCTTATGTATTTCACTTTCAGCCCATTTGTCTAACATCATTGTTGAAAAAATTCTGCAGAGGTTCTCCAGCCTTTGCACCTAATGATGGATGTTAAAAATTAACTGCTATTGTGTTTAATCTGATGCTCAATATTTCCTTTCTTTTTGCCGGTAAAGTAAATTTACAGAAATGTGATAAGTGGTGGAGGGCCTCTATGATGCAGGTGTTTTGTGGCTCTTGAGTGTTACAAGCCTGAGAAAGCAATAATATAACATAACATGTTATTTGCCACTCAAAATGAACACCTAGTGACAGATTTTCCCAGGCCAATAGAAACTAGAAATTTTAAAGATCTCCTAAAGTATCTCTGACTACTTGGTTAGCCATTCTGACTTTTTTCTTCAAATAATACATTTAAAAACATATCCAGACAAAACTTTTCATATTTTCATGCAGTCTTGAATAATTGTTATGGTAGCTGGTCATTATTGAGCACTTTAGAAATATGTTTATGTTTATTTTCTTTTAACGTGATCCCACTGTCCCACCTATTTTAAAGTGTATGATCTCAGCCTATTCCTGGGAATGGATTGGTGTATTGTTATTCACATGCTCCTGACCCAGTCGTTCCATCTTGCCTAGTGATGCTTGGAGTTCCCTTAATGTCTTGCCTAGAAGAGATGACAACCATTTGTAGGGTTGCCTGGTTGGACAGAATAGATTGGTCCAGGAGGGGCCAAGCCATGGTAGCTTAAGCATCAATAGCTTATGCCTTCCCCCAGATGAAGGGACCAGAGTTGGGAGAAAACAAAGCACAACAGGGGACTGGGTAGCACACAGAAAGAATCAGCCAACTAACTAGGACTCTGAAAAAAGCCATACTTGGGTAATAGTGGAAATCCAGGAAGAATCTCTAAAATTCTCTTTAGAGGTAGTTGGACTAGAATCTGAGCAAAAATATGGAGTCATTTAAAAAATATGTATAGGCGTGGCTATGTAAACATCATTTTCTCTCTATTGTTTAATATATTGTCCTCTATGTAACACATTGAGGGTGTGCATCACACACCTTTAACACATTGAAATCACATTTACAACCCCTCCCCCCCGACCCCACCCCAAGAATTCACATGGAGCCTGCTCAGAGTTTAGTTTTCCCAACCTCTGGGGAAGCTCTCAGGGGTAGGAGCTTTCACTGACAGAAGGCTGCGCTCACAGCATTTAAAGTCACTTCCTTTTCTGTCACACCTCCTTGGCCTGATGCAGGTAGATCATACTTATCACTTTCAGGAAACTGAAAAGTGAAAAGAATTAGAAATCTGTAGTCTAAGTTTAAAATAAAATATGTTATAAACAGAGATGGGCTCAGTCACTTTGTCACCTGGGCAATGGATGTTGGAGCTGTGTGTCCACCCTGTCATGGGTATGTTGCTTTACAAAAAAAAAAGAGAGAGAGATCTTGCTCATAGTCAGAGGTAAGTAGGATGCTTTAAATTTGACATTTGGGGGAGGGCTCTTGCAGAATATATAGTTTTTGTTTTACCTTGTTTTATCATATAAGATGGTAATGTTTTCTGATTAAAACTGCTATTTGGGAATTCTCATTTGTTTGCTGTATTGGTAGGCACAAATATGCATTACACTAGGGCAGCGGTTCTCAACCTGTGGGTCGCGACCCCTTTGGCGGTCAAATGACCCTTTCACAGGGGTCACCTAAGACCATCCTGCATGTCAGATATTTACATTACGATTCATAATAGTAGCCACATGACAGTTACGAAGTAGCAACGAAAATAATTTTATGGTTGGGTCACAACATGAGGAACTGTATTTAAAGGGCCAGCAGGTTGAGAACCACTGCTGACTAGGGTATTATAGGTGGGCATATTTAAACTTGTTTTGTGTACGAATTTTACCTTATGACTTGGCAATCTAAGAGACCTCTATTCACATCCAGGCTCTGCCCTTTACTGTGTGAGCATAGAGTTGTTTTCTGGTTTCTCCTTTCTTTCTGTAAAATGGAGATATTAACACCTTCTTTAGGTGGTTGTGAAATAGTGTGCATCACACACCTTATATAATGCCTGACACTCTGCAAGTGCTCGAAACGGCAGGTATTATTATCGCATTTATGAAGATGAGTAGAAGAGCAGGGATGCTTGAGGAATGTGTTAGTGGAAGTTAACGGACCAACAGGCAGCAACATGAATCATAAGGAGACTGATACTTAAGTACCTGGGACGCATATGAAAGCAATTTAATACCTTCCTAGAGCCAAATGATGCTACTGAAAATTGGGCTGTGTGTGGCAGGAGGATTATTATTATTGTTTAGTAGTTTTACTCATTATTTTATGTATCTTGCAGTTGCATTAGAGTTAAATAATATGTACTCCCTAGAACTATACTGCCAGTGTTCACTTCTGTCTTTATGACACTATACCATAATTTCCATAGTTTTTACTTAGTATGATTTTATTTATTTAATTATTTATACGGTGTCCCCAAAATGTATACACACACTTTGAGTAATTATAATGGCGGTGTTTATTGAAAGGCATTTCATTTTCAAAATCGAGCTATCTGCTGTTGAAGTGTGTATACATTTTTTGGGGACACCCTGTATTTTCACATGACATTTTCCTTTTAGATTCTATGCTACTAATGGTTAATTGTATATGAGTTACATAGTCATAAAGATGTAGCACTATATTCTTCCATAAATTTTCAGAACTTAGAATTGTGTAAGCACACCTATATGTTTAAGAGCAATTGAGTAAGAACAATATGATGACACAGTCTGTATAATGTAAAATATTAAATTTTGTAGATTTAAACAGTTGCTTTGTGGACTAGGAACCAAGTAAACAAAATAAAACATATCTCGCATTGAATTGAGGCTAAACATAAACTGTGCTGGGAAATATTTGGCTGAGAGAGAGAAGCCATATCAGGCCTATAACAGTCACCCTCCACGTGGCCTTTCAGACCCACCAGGACATGGCAGGATCAAGAAGGATGAGGAGGCTTGAAGTAGCATACTAAATATCTACAGAAAGAGTCATCATACGTACAGCTTTTTAACTAGCTCATGATTTTGAACTGTCCAATAATTATCCAATGGGAATAGAATATGTAGCTAAATTATTTTTTTTAAAATTTAAGAGTGATAACATACAATTTTGAATTATTTAAAATTTTAAGTGTACTTTTAAAGTATATATAATAGCAATTTAAAAGATGTTTTTCCAGGCTCCTGCAGAATTTACAATTTTTGTTTGCCTTGTTTTATCATATAGGATGGTGATGTTTTCTGATGAATAACCTGATATTTGTGAATTCTTCTTTTTTTTTTTTTGCTGTATTGGTAGATACAAATGTGCATTAAAGTAGATTATTATCAGTAAGCATATTTAAACTTTTTTTGAAAACAAATTACAAGTTTCAAATATATTTTCCAAAAAAAAAGAAGAATGGATTTGCTGTATCAGTGTGGTTGCAATTTCTCCAGACATCTGGGGGGTAAATATTTGCTAACTCTTTAACTGCTCTCTTAGGAAGTTTTTTAAAATTCTATTACACAAACTAAGATAATTCTCCCCTCCGTTTTTTTTTTCCAACTCTGAGCTCTCCACTCCTCTCCCTCTCCTTTTTAGATTTGACTCCGTAAACACCAAGCATCGTATGGTCCACCTGCAGGCTTCTCTGGTGTGCACCTTGCAAGCTTCCCCTCTGCCCTTAACCTGCCCATTTACAACAGACACTGTTGGTGTCACTGCGCCTTGGGTGCAGGCGCTGTCCAAATCAAGTGCCTCATTCATAGATGATCCTCTAGGTTTGTCTTTGCTTTTTCATCTTGGTCCACAGCAGTGTTTCCTTGGGTTCACTTTCTGTGTGTCCTGCAGTGTTGGAAAACCTCAAGCTTACCTCTTGGCTTCTTCACATCCTCCCTGTGTGCCGGGCCAGAAGTGCCTGCCACAGCTCAAAGGCCTCCAGAACCTATCCTGCAGTTAAGAGGACTTGGGGCTTTTCTCAGTGTCAATTCCATCCCAGCCTTTGCTCAGTCAAGGCAGGGATTATTGCCACCCGCCCAGCAAGTTTGTATTCTTGTCCTGGTAGCAAGTAAATTCTTTTCTCCAGTTGATGGATGGCCCTTTCAGCCAGTTCTAAGCAAAGATAATCCTGTTTTTTCACAAGTTCTCTTTTCAATATAAATTTCTTAGGGTAATGTGGCTTAGATAAAGTAAATTGTATATCTCTCACATGATAGTTAAGCTGTAGGTGAATCGAAGCTGGATGCTAACTGTGCTCTAGGAGGTTTCCCAGGAAGGCCATCACTGCTCAGCTATCTTGCAGCTGTTGCATGTGGTTCATCTCAGTGGTTCAAGGTTGCCTGTCCCCATGTCTGCATCAAGCTGAAGGATGGAGGAAGCAAACCCAGATGGTACCGTCTTTCCTCACCTTCTAAGGACACAACCTAGAAGTTGCGTGAATCACTTCTGCTCATATCCCGTTAGCCTGCATTTAATAATATTATTCACCTGCCTAATTTCAAAGGAAGCTGAGAAAGGTCATCTATATTTTGGCTGGTAGTGTGCTCCGCAAAAAACAAGGCAAGTGATAAAGTGTTGTAGTGGTAAAGAAAGAAAGAATAGATATTAGCAATATGAGTTTGTGCCTCCTGTAGATGATGGTAACTTAATGTGCCTTGTGGACACTGCTGACTTTTCTACCCCAACCCCCCCACTTTACTTCTATACCTATAACTAGACTCAGCTACCAACAGGTTCCTAAAAGTGACATACTGGGTGTGATTAATGAGGAGGCATACTGCACTCCAAAAGAACTGCATGAATTTCCCAATTTATACAGTCAGACATCTGGGAATATGAGTGGAAATGGGTGCTAAGGGTGTGGGATAATGGTGGGAGGAACATAAAATTGGATCAGAACAAATTTATTGATGTAGGACCACTAAGCAGAGATTCTGGATTCACTGTTATAATGTGAGGGGTTAGAAAGGGCTCCAACAGCTTGGTTGTTTGGCTGAAATGATGCTAAAGGAAGTTAAAATGCAAGACCTTCCTTGGTATACCCCTGAGGAAAGGGTCGAAAGGCTTAGGAAGAGTGGAATGGTGGAGTGGGTGTATCCTGTAACATCCTGCTCACCCACTTTGGGAAGGTCTAGAGAACACCGCCTTCACCACGACTGTGAGAGATAAATGTGAAGGGGAGCGCGGCATCCTGGCTCTGCGCTTGCTCTTCTCTGTAGGTCAGAAATTACAGTGGAAACTGCTGCCACTAAACTGGAATCCCGTAAGTGCCATGAGGATCTTTGGATCTTGGGTGTCAGGGGCCACCAGGTGGCCCACCTAATGCCAAAGGCAAGGTGCTCGCGGTTGCCATAATGGACAATGGAATCAAAGCAGTAATCAGTATCATCTTACTTCAAAAGACCTATGGCATTTAGCTTATTGGTCATGTGTTCTTAGAAGTGAAATAGATAGACAATCCACTAACTTCTGACTTGATCTGTGTAAGTAGAGAGTTCTAGGCCAAGTGAATGAAGTCTGATTAGACTCACCAACACAGAGGGTCATTGCCCCTCAACCAGTCACAGGACTTGAGCCAGTTTACAGACCCAGAAACATTGAAATAAGCACTTTTGAAGAACAGAGTTGTTGCTTAGAACTGTCTACAAGGGCCATCTCTCAACTAGAGAAAAGAATATGCTGGCTCTCAGCACAGAATACAGACATCATAGGCTGGTTCCAAGCATGGTACTGAAGGTGGGAATGGTGACAATGGTTTGCCTGATCTGACTGAGCTAAGGCTGGAATGAAATTGACACAGAGAAAAGACCCAAGTACTCTTACCCACAGAAGAGCAGACAAGGTCCCCTCGGGGAGGACCCCACTAAGCTGCCAATTACAATTTTATTCCACTTTCCCCATCCCATTTCTTAGAGTAACATGTCTCTTTATTTAAAATGTAAATATTGCCTGGCCGCGTTGCTCAGTGGTTAAGCATCGACCTATGAACCAGGAGGTCACGGTTCAATTCCCGGTCAGGGCATATGCCTGGGTTGCGGGCTTGATCCCCAGTTGGGGGTGTGCAGGAGGCAGCTGATCAATGATTCTCTGTCATCGTTGATGTTTCTATCTCTCTCTCCGTCTCTCTTTCTTTCTGAAATCACTAAAAATATATTAAAAAAATAAAATTAAATATTTGTGGGAAAAGGACAATTGTTATCTATATGTTAGTGTAAGTTAACTCCCATAGCTTATTTTCCTCCTATTACCTAGTTGAGATAAAATGGACATTTTAACTGAATGGAGAAAGAGAGTTGTTAAATGGTGGGTGTAGGGTAGGTATGGTCTAGATGTCATGGGTATTTTTAGGGAGTCATAATATCATTGGGCATTTAGGGGTTTACCGAGAAGAGTTCTAATACCAAAAGTAGCACATCTTTTTTGGGGGCTAGCTCTATACACAGGAAACAGGACATAAAACTTCTTTCTCATCCTCTTTCCTGTGTTTGTATCAACATGGTTTCTGATATCCAAGGGAAATGCACTGTTTTGATTAAGAGCCCCAGCTCTAAAGCCTGAATGTTTAGGCACAGATCTTGCCCTGTCATACCAGCCGTGTGTTTTATCTCTCTGCTCTTCAGTCATTTCACCTGCTAAATGAGTTGGTAACAGCAGCACCTCTTTCAGAGGATCGGTGCCAGGCTTAGATGACAGTGCTTGGTGCAGGGCCTGACCCGTGGTAAATACTCCATGCATCCTAGTTCCAATTACTAGTTCTAGACTCAGATTGTCGGCATTATTATTAGTCAAGGGCTAGTCGGAGGACTTGCTCCTCAAGAGCGACATCGTTTCCATGGGCAGATCACTTGGAGTTCCAATCAACTTCCAAGTAAGCTCTGGAACATGGTGTTATAAACCAAGGACTGCCTGGTCCCCCCAACTCCCGAGGTCAGATGTGCTGGAGGCCTCTGTGCCATTGTTCATTGTTACTGTTAAAACAATGTGACTTCGTCTCTCCTTCTTTAATTCTCCTTTCCCGGCTGAATGAATTGTTTCTTCTGTGTTCACCTGGCACTGGGTTCATATTATCACAGAGTTTTGTACTTAGTTATATAATTGCTATTCTCCCTTCCCTGTATCTGCAAATTCAAGGGTGCTGTGTAATTCTTGATATCCCTAGCACATACAGTTTGCCCTCTGGAAAAAAAAAGTCACATTATTGCTGACGTAGTTTGGTCTATGATGGTTGCGTCTGTACTGAACATGTGCAGAATTTTTTCTTGTTATTATTTCATAAATAATAGGGCATAACAACTATTTCCATAGAATTTAAATTGTATTAGGTATTATAAGTAATCTAGAGATGATTAAAAGTATGCAGGAGGATGTGTGTAGGTTATATACAAATACTGTGCCATGTTGGATAAGGGACTTTAGTATCTTCAGATTTTGGTGTGTATATCCTGGAACCAATCCCCCTTGGATACCAAGAAACAATTATGAAAAAATATATATATAATTCTAGGGTTTTCCGACTATAAAATTGTGTCCAATTATTATATTTTAGCTGTCCAGCGAAGGCTATAACACACAGTGAATATTGAAGAAATATTTCCCAGTTGATTAATCAAGAAATTCCTGGACTAAATATGTTTTCTCTTAAATATCTCAGAAGTTTGAAAATAGGGTTAGGGCTAGCATCTCATAGCTATTTGTTTTGATGTCTTTGAATATGAAATTCATACCAATTTAATTTACATTCTCTCAACTTTCATAAATGTGGATTTTGCAGCATGGTGATTAATACCTTTTACTTGCTTTGCAGTGATAGAGAAAAACCCATTTGACAGCAGTAAAGCTTGACTACAGCATCATCCTTGAAGTGCATATTATTTTTTAAAATGTTTTCTGCTCTCCGGGAACCACACAAATCGATGTTTTCTATTGTGGCCGAATGTGCTAGGTCAGCAGTTTTGGCCACAGGTGCAGAAAAGGAGGAAGAAGGTAGAACCTTAACGAGTTGATAATTGAGAACCAAAGCTCCATGGAAATGAATTACAGACCTCTGCAGGATTAGCCTCTGCTCCTGCCATGTTCTCCTCCTTCTGCATTTCCCAGACTGTACCTGCCTGCTGCCCTTTCCTCTTTCATCCGTGGGTGGGTGAGAGGCCCCCTTCTGTGGGCCACAGGAATATGTGCCCCAGTTAGAGAAGATAGGCAGGGAATACTAGGACCCTGTCCTGAAGGCCTAATGATCAAGTCTCAATCCTGTTAATAGTGAGCTATGTGACTTTGCCAAGTCACGGAAACTCTATTCCTCCAATTACATCATTTGAAAAATGAGGTGTTCAAGGCTTAGAAATGTTTTCATGATTTTCACAGTAATATTTCTGCACATAATTTTTTATATATTAGAAGGTATGACTATAAAGCACTGCTTTTTAGCCAGCACACCGGCATTTTTACATCTAAATCTTTCTCGTCTCTTAATGGCCATCAGACTTACATTATTTCGCACTTTACCTCAAAGAAATGTTAGAAACCGCTAAGGAAAATAATTTTGTATCATGTTAGATACTCCATTGAGGATGTTCAGAGCAGTTGGTTTGAAGGAGAGACAATCTAGCTTAGGTTTTGGCAATTCCAATATTTCAGTAATTCTCCCTTACTTGCTTCCAACTCAGAATCGCAGGTAAATCATCGGGATGGTAGTAACCAGAACAACAAAATGAAGTCAAATCTGGTTTAGAATTGACTATGTGAAGCTTTGCAGAAATGAAGGAATTTTACCACCCAGAGTTTATGATCAGACATGCCTATAAAGAAAACCAAGCCACACAGAGTTATTAATTGAGGCCAAATGAAACTGCAAGGGCATAGAACTTTATAAATAAGATTTGAGTCAGAAAAAGATATTTTGAGTCAAAGTGTAGCATTTCAGTGGCCTTGCAGACCTCATGAGATCTCAGTTGGACAAGTCGGTCATTCAGCAAAGGAAGTGGGAGGTGCACAAAGACCGCAGGTGGATGTAGGGCAAGTAAGAGGGTTGGACTTGCAGGTGCCGCTCTCACCTGACTTCAGTACTGTTTTAGACTCAAGATTGGAGCTTGCCCACCGTAGGCTAATCCTGACTCTTGTTGGCGCTGGGGCCTGAAGTCAGAGCCAGGCTCGCCACCCAGCACCAGGCAGAGCTGCTGCAGCACACAGCCCCCCGGTGGGTCATCCTCAAGGTCAGATTACAGGGCTGGGGGAGGACAGATGGTAATAAAAGGGGGCTTGTTTTTGGTGAGCAAGTATTCCAGAAACCTCCAGCTCCCTAGAATTTTTCATTAACAACCACAAACCTCTTTAGCAATACTTTTTAAAGCATCATCACTTTTGCTGTTGCCTTGCCTTAGAGGCACATTGCATTTTTCAACCCACAGTGGTATTGCCTAACAATCCCCACCTCATTCACTGGGCTCAGCATATAATTACTTTGGGCTATTTTCCAAACATTAAGATCGCCCTCAACATGCAATAATTCCCCACCGTCGAGGTTATTTAAAAGGGATGTGGCACAAGCCCCGAAGGCATTTCATAGAGTGGATATACAAATATTTTGAGCATTTATCTTTAGAACAAGGACATGTCTTTCCAAAGTTACTACATAGGAGGAAACAAATCTCAGGTATTGATTATCTATTCATGCATCATACATGGATTTGCATATTAGATTTAGTCCCAAAAAGTATATTTAAATGTAGTGCTGGTCTTCCAAAGAGAGCACAGTTTGCTAGTCAAAAAACTCTGTTTAGAGTATCTTTGCACAACATAATAATGTATCATAAACTAGAATATTCAGGGAATGCATTTTCTTAAAAAGAACATATTTGAAGTAGAATTTTAATAACTCTACTTTGTTTCTTTCAATCACATTGTTTTTAGTCATCCTCTGATTTTGACCAATTTTTCTTGACCTCTCCCATTATACATTTCTCAGAATTCACTAAAATAATGCAGTAATCCAAAACTGTTTCATAATGTGCCCAGCCTTTCCTACCTTAAAATAGCACTGGCTTTTGTTTACTGCAATGTCAAAGAAAACTCACATCTGTTTTCTTTTGTTGATTCATATCATTTTGACATTAGTGCCCAAAAGGAGTTTGACAACTTCAAAAATCTTATCTTTGCCCTGGCTGGCGTGGCTCAGTTGGTGGGTTGTCCTCCCCTGTAACAGGAGGTTGCAGGTTGGATTCCCCCACTGGGCATGTAGGAGGCAGCCAATCAATGTTACTCTCTCAC